TAGACCCTCCTTATCCTTGGATTCTTTCCTCAGATTCTTATTCTTCTTCTCGGCACAAGCAACAGATATCTTCTCCTTGAACCCCTGTAGACCCTCNGAAGCAGTACGTCGGCTTTCCCGCCCTCTTTCTACCTTGGATAATTCTCCCTACCGTCAATGCATGCCTCTTCTTTCGGAACCCTGTCTGGCCCTCCCTAGACTAATGCTACTTCTTTTTTTTCTCTCCCATCATCGGACTCTGTTGTCTGCCCCTCTGGCCCCTATCCTCCACTTCTACCAGCTAGACGACCCAACCGGGGTCACACAGGAGGAGGAGGGGGTTGGACCCCGTCCTGCAGTTCCTGCCTGAGATATTTTATTCGCGAGAAGGGTACCGCAANTGTCAGCTTCCTTGCGGCTCTTCCCAACCGTAGGGGTTGGATCCCCAATTCTGCCCTGACGGCTGCATTACTTGTGCGCTTGGAGCATCCAAGGATGATTTTCGCTGCTTTCATCTGGGCCGCCTCGAGTTCTTTCTNAGGGGGTTGGACCCCGTCCTGCAGTTCCTGCCTGAGATATTTTATTCGCGAGAAGGGTACCGCAATCCCTTCCCTCGCGACTTTTGAAGTCGATTATGGTTTACTAACAACGAGCTTTGCAACGCATCGCTTTCATCTTAGACCAGGATATATTTAGTGAGAAAAANGCTGCTTTCATCTGCGCCGCCTCGAGTTCTTTCTCTACCTTCTTATTTCCTTGCCATACTACTCCGGCGTACTCTAGCGGCGGTACGATTACGCTCTTCAAAACCGTCAATTTGATGCGTGTATCGAGGTGCCGGTTTGCGAGTATTGGATGCAGCTTCCCTGCTCGTGATTTGCCCTTTTCCGCTACCTTGGACATGTGTGCATTCCACGAGCAGTCTTTTGCGATCTCTACTCCAAGGTATGTGTACTGGTCCACTACTGCAATCTCCTCGATCCCCCACTTCCATCTATGTTCTACTGGTTCCTCCTTGTTCTCGTTGCATACCATGACGGCACTGTTCTTAACGTTGGCAGACAATCTCCACTTATCAGCAAACTTCTTCGCCGCGTCAATTTGCAGTTGCGGTCCCTCAGGGGTGCCCGACATACCGACAAAATCATCCGCAAACAGCATTCCCGAAACCGAATTTTCCGTGTCCCCTACTTTTACTCCCTTCCGGACTGCGTCTTCGACTTCCAACAGATCGTTGATGAACACCTGGACAATGTTGGGGACAGCGTGCAACCTCGTGGTACCCCCTGCTCAATGTCCAAGAATTTTGACATTGCCCCGTCTAGCATGACCGTGCTTTTCGTTCACTCTGTCATCTCCTTCAGCACTCTCCACATCTTCCCCTTGATCCCCGTACTTGGACAATTGCTTCCACAACTCATTTCTCCATACGGTATCGTATGCCTTTTTCACGTCCAGGAAGAAGCAGTACGTCGGCTTTCCCGCCCTCTTTCTACCTTGGATAATTCTCCCTACCGTCAATGCATGCCTCTTCTTTCGGAACCCTGTCTGGCCCTCCCTAGACTAATGCTACTTCTTTTTTTTCTCTCCCATCATCGGACTCTGTTGTCTGCCCCTCTGGCCCCTATCCTCCACTTCTACCAGCTAGACGACCCAACCGGGGTCACACAGGAGGAGGAGGGGGTTGGACCCCGTCCTGCAGTTCCTGCCTGAGATATTTTATTCGCGAGAAGGGTACCGCAATCCCTTCCCTCGCGACTTTTGAAGTCGATTATGGTTTACTAACAACGAGCTTTGCAACGCATCGCTTTCATCTTAGACCAGGATATATTTAGTGAGAAAAACACTCACTCTGCCGGGACTCGAACCCATGACCTGGCCTTTAGCAGACAACGAGGCTACCCACTAGACCACCGGAGCGACCGGTGTTCAATGCTCCCTCCCCAATACTTCCACTGTCCTATCGTTCAGCAGCTTACAAAATACTCTTCCTGCTGTGTTCAATAGTGTGATTCCCCTGTAGTTTCCTGGGTCAGTATTGTCTCCTGCCTTAAACAAGTTCACAACCACTCCCTCCCTCGATCTACTTGGCGCATGCTCGTTTTTCCTCTCCTAGTTGTACAGCAGTTTCATCAGCTGGATCATCCCGTTCCCACCAAACTTCATGAATTCATTGACTATCCCATCTGCCCCTGCTGCTTTGTGGTTACTAACGCCTCAACCTCGTCCTCAGTGAACTCGTTCTCTAGCTCCACGTTCCCAACGTCGGCTTCAGATGTTTCTCTTTGCTACTGGACCCATGCGTCCACCCCCTTCTGAGCCACTTGGTCAAAATCTTCATTCTCCGAAGGCACTCGAAGTCAATTGTAGTGTCCTGCTAGAATTCTCCTATTTCCCTTCCCACTGCTCACTCCCCCCCGGTGTTTGCCATCGGGGGGAAGTGTACTCATAGTCGTGCATGCCGTAGTCGTTAGACCATTGACCTCGCATCCCTACAAAGCCGGGACGGAGCACGCCGGGTTCTCACCGGACCAGGCTCTCACATCACCAAGCGCGAAGCGCCGTGAGATATTCGGCGAGTCGCATGAAGGGTGCGCTGCATCCTGCTAAGGGTGTTCGGCATCTTGTGCTTACTTCCTTGCGTACGGATGACAGCTGCGTATGAATTAATTTATTTTCTGGTGCTTTCCCTTCCTGAGGCAGTTGTAATCACTGTGTAACTGCGTCGAGGGTGCTTGACCATTTTAACACGGCGCGGTGCGATCATCCCCCTT